TAAGACAATCTATCGAATGCGTGATTGCGCAAATAAATAAAATTATGACGTATACAAGACCTTTACACCTCTTATAGGGTAACGCGGTTCCTCGTAACTCCGTCATGGATGTATTTGACACGAAACTCTGCCAAATGTCGAAATTACGGATAATAAAGTCATCAAAGTGACATCAGGAGGCAGGGGCCCAATTTTCATAAAAAAGTCAATTCTTGAATAACGTCATTAGACGCTATTGTGGTCAACGAATTCGCAATCTAACTTGTGTGTAATCCGGATCAAGGATAAGAAGCTCGTCATGTTAGTGTCAAAGGATTTCGGAATAATCAAACAGTACAGCCAAAATGTAGCTCACAGATAGTCTATTGTTTCCAAAATCGGCCCACTGCTCCGAGGAATCCGAAATTCACCCGCTAAGTATACAATCTTTTAACTTTCTGAGATAGATTACGTGCCAATAAACAATTCCAACGATTTTAACTACGATTAGATGTAAGAAATATTAAAGCGTCGAACCGTGTGCGCAATTACCTCAGTTGCAACAAACTTCTCATGACGACTGTACCATTGACTTATAAATATAATATTTATAAGTAAAGTACATATATTTATAATTTATTGGGGCATTCAAACGTGGATTCTTGGCAAACAATTCCAACGACCATAACAAGGATTAAGTGTAACGGGTAATTTACCACTGGGCAAGGTGTTGAATAGTTTCGCGCGATTCTTGTAATTGCAGCTTGTTGGGTTATAAGAGACCCGATAATCGGCCGCTTATTATACTTATGCAGATTATAGGATTATTTTCTTAATACATGCGCGCCAGTTCCAGGGCTGTCGGTATAAAAGGTCTTGCGGGAAAGGTTGCAAAATTGGGGGGTTCGTGTCGATGCTTGTCTCATCTAATTGGAAGAATCGCGTATGCAAGGCCGACTATCGGCAATGGAATCCGGTGAAGTAGGTCGATGCTTCGGACACACCTCTAAGAACTTCACCCCGTTTCGCCCGGATAACACGGATAACACGGATAACACGGCGGCCGATCACCTGTGAAATCCTTTGAGTGAGACCACGTAGTGTATGATATGCCCGGTGAAAGCAACACCTTTATTCACGCGACAAGACACAAAGGTGTGTGCCAAAGGGCTCTTCGATCGCATCCTCCGTGCGCCGATTTTTTTCCTTTTCAAACACGAAAGATGGATTCTTGCTCGAATCAAAGAAGCTGCATCGATACGCGACGACGGCAAAGGAAAGACACTCCGTAGAAAGCGGCATTTTCTGCAATAATTAAAGAAACGTTCCAAAAGAGAACTATGAGATGTCAGCGTACCACGAGATTGAGGATCGTGTTTTCCTAAGAGAACTCGAAAAGATGAAAGAACATTTGACCATTTTAAATCGGGAATCATCCTTTTCTGGGAGGGTAAAATGACCGAGCTTTAAGCTTGGGTTAAGAGCTGTACTCTCTGTCGCTTTTGTGTCTCAAACTCCCAGTTCCACGCAAGAGGAGAAGGATTTCGCGTCCTAGGAAGGATAAGCTGTAAGACGATGATAAATTTCAAACTTCCAAGAAATCTAAAAGCAATTCGTTGAATTTCTTCGTTTATTCTTTTCCAGGCTCATCGCCAGCGCTTTAAGATTGAAAAATTAAATAATCTAACTCCAACTAACGAGTCGATCGATACCGTTTTCATTTAATTTCATTTAATTTCATCGTATCGTCTTTGTTTGTTTAAAACTTCGATGGGAAAATTCCAAATAAAATGAATATTTGATCTCATCTTTAGAACAAGTTTGGTTTAAAATAAAAGGGTCGAACGTGCAATCTTATCCAACTTAGAGGGTAAAAGTGCGTACGGGGGGGGATAAATGTGCGCAGGTACTATTTCAAGCAAATTCACAAAGAAACGCGCCAAATCCGAAATAGTCGTTAAACTTTTCATGTCCCCACTCTTTACACGTAGCACACCTTATCCAATATTCTTTAACAGGTTATCTGTACATTTCGTCATAGAGCCCACATTTACAAACTTTTCTTTCTTGGCGTTTCTTTAGATTTCCGGAAAGTCTTAGATTTTCCTTTCTCTTGTGGTGTTATTTTCTTCAAACGGTTTTTATTTTCCTCATTTAGTCGTTCTTTAAACGGTGAACCGCTCAATACTGTACTTTGATTTGGATAAAAACGTTTCAACTCTTAAAAAAAAATTCTTGAAAAACCATAATTTTTGGGTGCGTCAAAGTGGTGTAACCCCTTAAGTTACTTCATAACACGTTCTGTAAATAATGCGAAAATCTTAACAAAATAGCCAGATACTTTCAAGCCATTCTTGGACGTTTCGTTTTGACTAATATTTAAAAAAAATTGTCGGAATCAAGCACAGTACCGGATAACAATCAAAACCCAACTGAAGTTAACTATAATATTAATTTTCACGTGGTTTACTGTGAAATACGTATGCAACACTTCTACCGACCGCGAACACTTACACCACCCTACCTTATGCTTCAATTGGTACGAACGCATTACTCGTTCCCTCGGTAGAAATATATTTATTAGACCCGTTCCATGATTTCTACCCCAATACGTCTAATCGCCCTCTGCAACATGCATCAATAACACACGTCGAATGAATAATTTCACTACAACGGCTTCCAAAAGCAGGTACTATGTTTAACCAAAAAGGCATGTAAACCGCAAAGCAGATATCCTCCTGGCCCTGCAACGAATTGTGTAACGTGTACATACATAAGCCTCGTCTCTATGCGCAACGACTCGGTGCGTTCGATCCATTGAATAATTCAGCAGACTCGTGTGTGCGGGCTCGTTATTAAATCTTCGTCTAGCATCGATCCGATAAGCCAGATCGGAGGCTGGTCTGCGATCGCGAAATCGCCTCCCACAAATTTGCATCGATTTGCATCAATCGTCGTGAAGGGATAAAGCCAACGCGAGCCAATCGAAATGCCGAAGTCCGGTACGTGTATGCGTTTTGCGTTGCTTGGATCAATTAAGGATGTCAAATGAAACATGCACCGAGTACCCCAATTACCTGGAATGCGATTAAAAACTATTGCGGCATTACTTCCGGTAGTTTGTAATCGTATTCATGTATACGCGAGCATTCTCGTTTTCTGTTTTTCTCGCAATTGTGACTTAATGATCGCAATGACGACGTTAACGGTGAGTTCCTTATCGGTTATCATATTTCCATTTCGATCTAAGATGGTTTAATTTTGCGATCCCGTTATAGGAAAACATTGCCAAGGTGATTTCTTGCTATGCATTCTTTTTTTACGTTTCTTCTTATGCTTTGTAACGAGGAAAGATATCAGATATGAATTTCTAAGTACTTCCTCCGCTCGTTTCAAATTTTCTGTAAAGTTTCTATAATTAAAAACGTTGAAATTCTCTTGCCAACCTTCAATCGTCAATTCCTGCACCTACACCAGATTGCACCTTGCCGCCCTGGTTTCACCATCGCATTTTGCATGCAACGCGCAGTGTACAACATGCAAATAACGTACTATGTTGAAAAGGGAAGCACCGCGCAAAGTCAAATGACGCAAGTGCGCTTTGCTATAAATCTTTATAACCTCAAGACTCTGCAGCTTTTCAACGTTTAGTACGTTGAAATGCACTAAAACTAAACTATTGGGTTATCGGTAAAGTTATGACTCATTTTCGTAACAGATGATATAGAAAAAATGCGCCCTGACAACCCAACAAATTTTTCAGCGTACATATATTGGAAAGATTACAATAGAATAGAACATAAAATAAGATCATGTTTTTTTACCCGAAATACGAGAACACCTCTTTAATTAGTTACATTCTCTCTCACACCGAAAGAGGTACATCGCGGGAAAAATGATAGAAAAAACGATACATCTATCGTCTTACAATCCGTAGCTGGATGTCTAGATTAACCCTTTGGGCGCTAAGTACTTTCGGCGTATGGGCGAATTTCGTCAGGGCGTGCTAGCGATGTTCGACCAAACGTCGGACGCACATATGCGTCGATAGCGCTCAAAGGGTTAAGAGGATATGAAAGAGTCAGCCTATATACAGGTATGGAACCCTTCAGTTCGTATAATTCTCAACGTAGACTGTAAAAGACTTGAACATAAACATAAATGTCGGTAATGGGACGCGCCAGCTTATGTTACTTGAGTATTCAAAACGGCATTACCCCCAAAAAGGGTATAGATCAATTTTACTTTATCCACGTCGATGTAATTTCTTAGTGGCGTTAAAGAGGTCCCGTTCATGAAACATTTCTCTAAACTAGATGTACCAAATCGTTTTAAACTTTACAATGTGAACATGGAGGCTATATAAAAAATCCTCCTGCAGCCATGAAATTTCAATATTTAGAAATTTGCTTATAGATATTTTCAAAATGTGTTATAAAATACATTTTGTGGGTGAAAGGACCTTTATTATGTCTCCTGTATTCACAAAGTAAAGTTTGAAACGGTTCGTTACTCCTAGTTAGGAGGAAAGTTTCATTAACGCGACCTCTTCGACGCCACTTTCACATCCGTCGATAAATAACGAGTCTTCCCGAGAACGTCTCGATGATCAATTTCGGTCCGCAGACGAGACACGAGGGACAGCGATCGCTTTTGGGCGTAAATTTGGTCCAACTTTCGTAATCTGCCAAACGGTTAAACACGATTCATTAATATCTAATGAATCTCTTTGGGAGCGTCTTAGCGGTCGGCTCTAGTTCGCAGACGAGACATCGAAAGGGATGGGATCGTCTGGGCAGTCGCTTTCGGACATAGTCCGTAACAGAGTTTAACTTGCGATATTAATAAGTAACGAATCTCTCTGGGGACGTTCTAATGATCGGTTCCACCTCCCAGCCGAGGCATGCGGACGGACGGCAGCGTCGGGTCAGTCGCTTTCGGACACCCATGAGCATCCCCCGGACTCGATATGGAAGTGACGGGCTCGACGACAAAGTGACGAGGGGAAGGCTCTCGAGAAAATGGGCTCCTTGCCGAATCTTCACGAGCTGTCGAAGGACAAGCTCGACAATCCTGTCCACCGACCGGCACCGATCGGCGGTCTGGGACCCATCAGGCTGCCTCCGCAACCACCGCCTTTGGCTCACACCCACCGCAGGGCGCGAAGCGGTGGTCATCATCACACGACCCTCTGGGACAATGACGCGATGCTCGAGGTATTTCTTCATTTCTCTTTCGGTAATCTACTCTAATAACTGCGTGTTAAGGTGATATGAAAGGGTCATTCTATGTACATAAAACGTCAAAATATTTATTAAACGTTTCTCCAAACTGAAGGTACCGTGTCATTTGAAACATCGGCATGTGATTATGAAAGCCCTAAAGAAGAACGCATTGCTCGTGAAATTTCATTAAAAAGAAAAAAAATGTGTCCTTGGTTCTAGTCTGGGATAATTAAACAAATTTTTGTTGAATAATGAAATTTCATGAGCATTGCGTTCTTAGAGCTTCTATAATGAAGTGCGGAAGTTTCACATGATTCGGTGCATCCAATTTGGAGACAAGTTTTATAAATATTTGGACGTGTATATGTACATATTTAGAATGACCCTTTCATATCACCTTAAGGGGATGCGAAAGTGGCAACAGCCGATACAACTCTTTGTTCAACAGGCTTGTACAATCGGTTTGTTTGTTTGTTAACCCGTTTGGGCTACAACCTATCTGTTCGGAGATCAGAGCTGGGTAATTATTTCAATTAAATTCATGTAAAATAGGTATCTAAAATGTAAAATGCCATTTTCTATTTTGTATCTTCAATAAGATGGAAAAACTAATTTGGATTTTCTATTTTTAAATATATTTTGAATCTATTTCCGTTTAAAATTAAATACATCTAGGGAAAGTACATATAAGACTGAATTGTGCATATACATTTATGCATATCAATGTAGGGTGTATGCAAACGAGTAGGTATATTAGAAAAGAAAAAAAAAAGAATCAATTAAATATTACTTCTTCCATCAACTGAATCAACTCTCAAAATAGTCAAACAACCCTCAACTCGAATTCGAGAATCATTTTACCCAGCTCTGTCGGAGACATTAGCTCGTAACATCCTGGATGAACTACATGGCACTTATCTATACCCGATACCGATTTCGATGCAGAATGATGAGCTAAGAAAAGTCGTTCATGAAACGCAGCACATGGCGACGTACTCGCCGATCTCCTGTCGCTCGGCCAGGACCTCGGGGTTGTCCTGGCGACGACGGGAGTCGATGTGTTCCTCGGCCGGGGCGTCGTCGGTGCGTCGCCTGATAGCAGCGGTGAGGACGGCTCCCTCGGGACCCCGACCCCCCCGGAAGGCCGTCCTGAGGCACTGCGTGGCCCTCCTCCTGGGACACGCGACCTGTTCGGCGGCCACCCTGCCGATCCTGCCGCTCCAGGCCGGCCTCGGAGCCTTCGACCCCCAGCTGGGCCCAATCCTGCTGGCCCTCCTCTACACCACGGCCACCCTGACCTCCTGCTTCGCGCCGATCTTCGTGCAGAAGCTCGGCACCAACCTGACGATCTGTCTGACCCATCTGATCACCACGATCTTCGTGGGGGTCCACTTCTATCCCAAGTGGTACGTCCTGGTGCCCAGCTACGCGATCTTCGGGGCCTGCGCGAGCCCAGGGTTCCTCGCCAGGACCTCGCACACCAACATCTCCGCGGCCAGGCTCAGCCTCGTCTGCTCCGACCCCGAAGACCCCGACGAGACCCGCAGGGACTGCCTCCTCAGAAGACTCAACAGGGGCATGAAGCTCGCCGAGGACATGGGCCTTGCTCTGGGTAAACTGTCGCAGTTGTTTCTTAAGGTGAAGTGAAACCTCCCTTAAATCAGTCGACTCGAATATGATACTCTTCTTTAAGAGTATTGGGCCGAATCGTCTGAAACTTTGGCACATGACTCGTGATCACCTAAGAACCGTCCTGACACTGTCGAAATTTCGATTTCCAACAAAAAATCATTTTCTGACTTAGCCTAGTCGAGAACCAAAATGGCGCCGACCTCTCATATTTCGAGCGATATGCAATTATTGAAGGCTTTGATATGAAAGACGAAAGTGTCGGGACTATTGTACAATGACGTGGAACACTCTAGTTATCGTGAAACTCGTATCTGAACGGAATAAAGACCAAAAAAGTGTCTTATGCGCTTCTATGCTAAAACGAAGGTAACGCGAGATCTCGGAGAGAAAATTTAGTTAACCCTAGAATCGCAAACGGCATAGGATGGAATTTTACCTTCAATTGGGGCGTCAAAAACCATTTCTAGAGTTTTACTTCGTATTTCTTTATAATTATTGTACGGAAACAGCATATGGAGTATGCCATTTAGTAGAATACCCAATATAATTCGAAACGGGTGTCGACACAAATACGAACGTCGGGAACGTAGGTATTTAGAAGTATCCTGTTTACCGACGTCGGTGAAATTTCTCGACGTGTTTCACTTCACCTTAAGCCGGATACACATCTGAACAGGATCGCGTGCGAGGTAAGGCGAGGCAGAACGAATGCCGCATATTCGGATCTGTACGCGATAACAAACGAAATCGTTCGAGGCAATTAACGGACATCTTAACGAACAGCCTCGAATGGTGTGTCGAACGATCCGAGGTAGTTTGCCGCAATTCGATTGATTGTCCACCCTCGTATGTTCCTCTTGCCTCGTACGCACTCCGCTTGGACGTGTACCTGGCTTTACATCCGCAACCGATAGGACATACGTTCGTATTTATAACCTTTAATTTCCTTTAATTTCCTTTCTTTACCCTTTTTAGTTTGGATGTAAAAGGTCGATTGTCCTCCGGTGGAGGCTGGCGCCTTGGTCGGAACGTTTGCTGGGAGGGCAAATTTGGTTTTGGGTGGTAGGCTATTGAGAACGTGTAGCAGGGTGGATCAAAGGGTGTTATCACGAAGTCGGGAGAATGGCTTCCTGTAAGTAAGTTGTTAAAGCGTGACCGTGGGTTAAACGATACACCCTCGGTAGGTGGTATCGGTTTTCGCGTTATATCGTTCGAATATCCCGGTATCCGTGCTTCTGAGGGTTTCGTTATTACGTCTAGAATTATGTGGGAATTACTATACCTCCAGAGTGATTCGCTAGAGTATGACTCGCGAAGGTCCCAACGATCCAAATTCAGGTTGCGAGAAATTGCCGACGAATGTGAGAAATCATATTTCGGAGACGTTCCTCTGATTTCTGTTAAACCTTTTTGAAGTATTCGATATTGTTACGTGAGACCAGATTTTGTCGTAAACTGCCAAGATCTCAAGGACCGAAATGAACCTACTGAAGCTTTAAGAAAAATTTGTACTTTTTATTCTGAAGAAAACAGATCAGTTGACTGAAAGAAATATACATTGTCGACATATATATTGCTGCCTAGGTTATATATCATTCCGAGAAAAAATTATTTTGTTGAGGAGAAGAATTGATGCTGATCTAAAGGAATTTCGATTACTCGATCTGACATTTCTTTAGATGGGTTTTGTTATCGCAATGCATATTTCTTTTAAAAGACCAACTTTTTTTTTCTTCTCAGTGTAGATATTTCTCACGTCTCACAAGTTTATGAAAGGGTTACGTGATACTATTTTTTCTTGAAACGACGGACTTTCGATTATCGTGTAATTAGGTTCGTTCTTCTTAGCCACACTTTCTACACCTTAAGTAACCGAAGGCAGCTTATCTTTTGAGAGTGGGAAAAAAGTGTACGCTTGATAAGGAGAACGCCAAGGTGTAAAAACAAAATGACGATTGCGCGTAGATTCTTGCTATTTGTACCAAATTAAAAGTCTTTCAGAGAGTAACACTAAAATATATACGTATGTAATATACAATTATAAATTCCGTGGCCGTTGAATAATTTTTTCTTACCTTGGCACTTAATATGTTACAATGAACTTCGAAAATAACTTAAACAAACTAATTCCAAAACATTATGGAACTTTTATTTCAATCCTTCGATGACAATTGATTTTCTTTCTTGCTTTTGCGCTACGATATACATAAACCAATATTTTTCCTCGCTCAGCTTCCAAATCATGCAAATTCAAGTGTAGACTTTTTTACTCCTTTTTAGAACTGGGTGTAAGAAAGTGTATGTGCACCACATTGCACTTAGTGTAATTACACTTTCAAGGAGAACAGCGATTTCTTACGTTACTTCCGGCAAAGAGAACGTCACAGTGTTTTTTTTCCTCCAACACTTTTCACGAAAGTGTAGAATGTGTAGCTAATAACAAGAAGAGCAAGCCTATTGATCGAACGCGTAATCGTAATAATGAAATGTAATGTATTTTTGCAGGGTGTCTGATCGCAGCGATCCTCGTGAAGATGACCAGCACGGTGCCAGCAATTACTCTAGAAGGGGAAGCTGTGGATATTTGCGGAGCCGAATACTGCCCCGTAGAGATGTATTTCCAGAACGAAACCCTGTTCGCGCCGACTCTTCCCTCGGGGACGGCAAAAATGGTGATTAGCGCTTGGTTGGGCCTGGCCATCCTCGGTTTCGGAATATCCTGCGCCTTTTTGGATTCCCGAATGAAGGAGCCGCAGAGCGTCAACGACAGACTCAGCACGACGAATCTCCTCAAAGCCGTCAAGTCTGCCTTTCAAGACCCGAAATTGCAGCTGGCTGCACCGCTGACTCTTTTCATAGGATTGGAGCAGGGCTTCATATTCACCGATTTCACGGAAGTGAGTTTAGATTTCCGTTTTTGACAGAAAAACAATGCTTTGCGTTGAAAAAAAAACTATCCTCCAGTTTGTCGCTAGCAAATCGATGATTTCTAGTTTTCGCATGTTTTCCCATACGATGGCATATCCGTTTTTCACAGAAAAACAATGCTTCGTGTTGAAAAAAAACGATCCTCTAGTTTGTCGCTAGCAAATCGATGATTTCTAGTTTTCGCATGTTTTTCCATACGATGGCAAATCCGTTTTTCACAGAAAAACAATGCTTCGTGTTGAAAAAAAACGATCCTCCAGTTTGTCGCTAGAAAATCGATGATTTCTAGTTTTCGCATGTTTTTCCATACGATGGCAAATCCGTTTTTGACAGAAAAACAATGCTTCGTGTTGAAAAAAAAAACGATCCTCTAGTTTGTCACTAGCAAATCGATGATTTCTAGTTTTCGCATGTTTTTCCATACCATGGCAAATTAATACAAAATTATGATAAACTAAAAATGTTAGGTCATGGATCAATTTTTAGGAAGTTAGTGAAACAATAACTCATTCTAGGCTATAAATCTGTTATGAATCCGATGTTTAGCAAATGTTTTCTTTCCATTCAACAGGCGTACGTGGTATGTGCCCTGGGTGGAGCTGGCCCAGTGGCTTTAAGTTTTTTAAGTTTAGCACTCTTGCAAGCTCTCGCCGGTGTAACGTTATCCATGTTGCTTAGACACATTAGAAGATACTTCGTCATAGGTGAGTGAGAAAAATTGTGAAAATCTCTATATTTGGTTAAATTAGATTATACCTTTAGAAGGGGTAACGTTTTTGGAGTTAGACAAAGGAAAGAATAAGACAAAGTCTCTTGTTTCAGCCGTGGGTTTTGCATTTCACGCCTGTCTACTGCTGGTGCTGGTCGCCTGGAGGCCAGCGGGCGATGATCCCGCTCTTTTCCACGTCATATCTGCGGCATGGGGTGTCTGTAATGCTATCTGGGAGACGTTAATATACAGTGAGTATCAACGATAAAGCCAAGTCTAAACATTGGATCGGTTTCAAGAACAATGAGGAACCAGACTCGAATTCATCGGATTCATACCTACAAGGTTTCCTTTTACGAAAACTGCAAAATAGAGTTGATGTCCATCCCGAGTCGAATTTATCGATCTCAGTTTTACCTTTAAATCTTGTATTCTTTAGATCACTTAGTTGGCCATCAGATATTACAGTCTCATTTAGTTCACTACGAACTCTAGGAGCTATTCCGAGGGGTTATTCCCTCAGGAAATCATAGATTTTAATGCCCGAAAACACGTGGAAATCAGCTGGAAATTGCGAGCAGAAATCATTGGAAATCGCCGAAAAATCGTAACAATTTTAATACCGAACGTCACTTGTTACCGAATCGCATTATTTATCATATGAAATCAAAGGCAATCTTCCGAATGAATATCCCGTCGGGCTACGATGAACAATGCAGTTCGGCAACAAGGAACGTTCGGTCTTAAATCCGTGACAATGTTTCGGCGATTTCCAACGATTTCTAGCGATTCCTACCCACGATTTCCAGCTGATTGCTAGGTGATTCCGCGCATTCAAAACCATCATTTTCTGAGTGAATATAACCCCTCGGTTTAGATACTTTTGCGTAGCGAAAAACGGTATCCCGAGTGTGCTGCACTTCCTCTACTACAATAACATAAAATACTATTCGAACGTATTGTTTCCATTGGTACAAGGATTAATTAATTTAACACTTTTGCAGCGCTTCTCTTGGGTTTGTACCCCAACTCGTGGCAGGGTCCCCTGTCGACGTCCTTGTTCTGGAGGTGGCTGGGTCTGGCCCTGGCACTGGGTCTGCACGGTCTGGTGTGCACCCGAATCCGAGTCCTGGGCTTGGCCGCCATGCTCGTCCTGTCCGTGACTCCCTACGTCTGGCTGGAAGTCCGACTGGCGAGGCGAGGCAAGACCCTGGCACCCTTGTGACCGCGTAGATCGAGAACTCGCTTGTTAGCCGGTAAACTGTCGCATAGCGAATGAGGTAGGTTCGTTCCATCCAGCCTGAGGACGCGCGGCCGGCTCACCAGCATCCGGGAGCGCACCAGAAACGTCAACATCTTCGTATGCCACACGAGAACCTCGGAGAGCTCCACCACGAACGAACGCAACGCGGCGTTCTCCATGTCCTAGGTCCCCTCGCTTTGTTCATTCGTATCTGCAGGGTGTAAGCGAACTCGTGGTTTACTCATTGCTGTCCTCGTTCAAAGCGGAGACGGAAAGTCCAGGACAATTTTCTCTCAGGGTGCATAATTTGCCTATAATAATTCATTGAAAAGTAGCCAACCACGTGCGTCGTTCAAAAAATTCGGGATAATTTCGCCCCAAATTACGTACGCATGCATACATTCATAGGTATATGTGTGAACGCCAAGGTCTTTAAGCCAAACATCGGCACTTCAATTGGATAAATATTTATAACTTGGGAGAATTTATGACGAATCCATCCTAGACACAAGCAATGAATGTTACATTTTGGAGCCCCTGTAATTTTTTTCAGAGTTTTCAATGCCATTAGTCGAACGCGTATCAGTCGTGTTTTGCTGTTTGCGGCGCAGGAGCAAAGAGCAATGAAGTCTCCATAGGAGCCTAGAAGGATACGAACGTTAGATGCTCGATAATTGGGGTGTTATCGAATGATAGCGGATGGCGATGCTGATCTTCTTTCCGCTTCCAGATTACGGCGATATATATATAATGGTTTGCACGCGTTCTTTCTGTACACTTCTCTCTTCTTCCCATATGTAAGACGTTGATTAATGCGTACCATCTTTTTTTTATCCTCTCCGGGCTTGTTAGTCGACTTTATCTTGCAGAAGGTGCAAAACCAAAACCAAGATCAAGACTGTAAAACCAAGACCGATTTTACTTACTAGATCTGGACTTCTTTGGAACTTTTGAATTCTATGAGAGATACATGACAACTTATGGTGTGCTTTTCAATTCTCGTTCCATTAATCGCTTCGCCTGGTTGGCTGATTTTCAATTAATTATTATGGGCAAACTATGCGCCATGGAAAAGAAAAAAAAATTGTACAGGACTTTTCGACGCCGTTTTCAACGAGAATAACTATGGCCATGAATTCCATTGCCCTCTGAATATGAATATGTTTCATAGATATACCGACATTTTTTTTGTTTGTCCGAGGATTGGTTGACTGGTTTATTATTTTGACGTTTATTCATTTATTGAGCCCTAGATGGTCTACTTACGTAACCTTTGTCGTAATGTGTAATAAGTGGTTTTTCATGGATTTATGACTCAACCGTACTCGACCGAGAATGACATTCAGATGGACCAATATTCATATTCGGTTTGAAGAGTACTTTATGGAAATCAGAAGATTGGAATCATTGTTATGCCAAATAGAAAGTATTATATTGACGCGTTAGCTAGGACTTTTTATTTGCAGAAAGGTAATGGAGCTTTAAAGTTATGTAGCAGCAGTCATACTGAGATGGTCTAATACTAAGAGTATCGTTATTTAATAACGGATGTAAACCGGAGGACATGAATGCCTTTCTTGCAAATATGATGTCCGTGTGTAACGGGAAGGCATTCGTCTCTGATGTTGTTGAATACTTGTTATCTCCCTTGTCGAAATTTGAGCAAGTTCGCAGCAGGGTCGAAATCATGCGAAAATCGGCTGGAAATCGCAAACAGAAATCCCTGGAAATCGTTGGAAATTACCAGATACTGTCACAACTTTAAGGCCGAACGGCCCTTGTACCCAAATCGCATTGCTGTTTATCATATGAAATCAAAAGCAATCGGCTCTCAAAGAGGGAAATAATTTTCACAGATTTCCAAGTGAATAGTCCTTCGATTCTGACGTTCTACGGAATCGCCGCGGACCTTCGATAGATTAACGTTATGATTTGGACCGAAGGGGTATTCACTTGGAAAATCATGGATTTTAAGACCTGAAATCATGTGAAAATCTGCTGGAAATTACCAGATACTGTCACAATTTTAAGGCCGAATGTCCCTTGTTACCAAATCGTATTGCTGTTTAGCATATGAAATCAAAAGCAATCGGCTCTCAAAGAGGGAAATCATTTTCACAGATTTCCAAGTGAATAGTCCCTCGATTCTGACGTTCTACGGAGTCGCCGCGGACCTTCGATAGATTAACGTTGTGATTTGGACCGAAAGAGTATTAATTTGGAAAATCATGGATTTAAAGGCTTGAAATCATGTGAAAATCTGCTGGAAATTAACAAATACTGTCACAATTTTAAGGCCGAACGTCCCTTGTTACCAANATCAAAAGCTATCGGCTCTCAAAGACGGAAATCGTTTTCACAGATTTCCAAGTGAATAGTCCCTCGATTCGGACGTATTACAGACAGTACAGACTTACTGCGAACCTAGAGACTTGCTCCGGCATACGGCAGACGTGCCGCAGATCTTTATATTTCGACTCGGGCTACGGTTTCAATTTAGTGATCGTTATCATCAAAATAGCCTCCACATAATTTTAGAAAGCCATTGTACCGATACGGTATATCTTGACGAAAGGTATCTCAAAATAGTCCCGGAAGATCCCATTCCTTATATAACTCTCGATCTAAAGTATTTCAGACAAATTAGAAATTCAACCCTGTACTCGAAGAAGTTGTCGAATAAAGTCGACATTAAAAAGTCTCAGAGCGACATCCAATTCCGACGGTACTTGGTAACAACGGTTACTCTTTACTTTCTACAAACTTTTGAAAGCAAATTGACCTCGAGCGTATTTTGTAAGTTATAAAGCGAAATCGTAATGGGCCCTCGAATACGCGTTACCTCGATCTCCTCTTATCACATTCGACAAGGCATTGATCAAAGGGCGTTTCGTTTTTCTTCGTCATTTAATAAGAACAGACTTTTATCCATTGTTACTCATTAGCTCTCTATTAACTCCTAGTAATCTCGATTAAGTACTTCGACAAGGCGTCTCTTACGGCTGGGTGGAACGACAAACGGATAGAAATAAACGCGATAGACTGGCAGAGTATGATCGCTCTGCAGATCGTCGTCACTTACGTAGATCTTTTATCAGCACCTACCGAGCGGGATATATCATGACGAAAATGAAACCTTCGCATGTATATCTGCCGACCGGTTAACGTTATAAGCGAATGTACAAAGTCGCGTGACTCCCGTCGAAACGGGATGAGCGACGTGCAGTGGAAAATGTACGAAAATGAATTCCACGTGAAACATCTTGGTGATAGAGGATAGCGCTGCAATTTATTGCATCCAAACAAAATCTAATTTCGGTCGAGAAGTCCCTTTAATGTTTTAACCGTTTAAGGTGATAAGAAGTTAGGGGATTCGTAGAAATTAAGACTATGTCATAAATATCTCGATTATAAAATGAATGAACGTTTTCAAACGTCCGCGTCACTTCCGCGATGTCCCGTAAGGAGATATATTTGTTGTTCCGGATGAGAAGACTGAATTTTAAAATTCCTTCGAATTGAGGATTCCTGGAGACTTTCGTATCGTCTCGAGAAATCTCACGGGGTATGATAGACTACATTGAGGAGAAAAATGGAAACGGGATGAAAATATAATATCCGCAACTTCTTTGTTCGTTCACTTGATAGGGACAGAATAGCCATTTTTGAGGCAAACAAATTCCATTTGACTGCGATAAATTGTAACGCAGTCATCTATGGAAAGGATGTTTAACGAGGTTGAGGAAAGATGGTTTTTCTAGTGTAGAAGATTTACTATAGTATTTTCTATTATGAGAACTCTATGAAAGAAAGAAAGCTAGTCGTTAGTTACGTGTAAATATATACTTACTGTTGCTTCCGGTTCCTCGATTGCTTGCACGTACGGGAAGTACATGCGCGACCCTCCACACTTCGTTGCACAAAAATATACGATTACGACGTTACAAGAAATGGGAAAAGTGAAAAAAATCAGCACAAATTAGATTGCATTAGGTACGGTAATTACAGCTGAGAAAAGTCGAGACTGTAGGAAAATGATTCCTACATCGATCTCGCACTTCTCAGCGACAATCCTTTCAACGGCGTACCGTAAGCGCCGCGATGCCTGTTTTCGATGTAATTTCGATTAATTGTTTAAATATCGTGAGAACTTGTATATCGTCTTCGCGTATAATCCGTTCTATTGAGCCAAGGGAAATGAAAAATTAATCGAATTCAATGTGAAGGAGCCATCAGAAAGTAAGAGCTCCGTAATTAAAGTCACCTGTCTTATCAATCGATGTAAATTTTTTCGAAACGACGTAACGAATACGTTATAACATTTGTCGGTACAGCCGCCGTTTGCATAATTCAATATTTTGTCCTTTTGATGAAGAGATTGCAGGACGCGTTCTCTGAATCTCGGGTGCAAAGTTACTGAGAAGATAACGATGTAATGTTATGTCATTGTAATCAATTAAAACCGAGAAATTTCTCGATGTCGTTCTAACGATTTTTACGTTTGCCGAACGATGCCAATAAATTCGACGTGAAATGTCGAAAAGTCGATTTAACCACGTGGTAGGTCATGGGACGTAGCACCTCGTCTTATATCATTTAATCGTCAATTGCCAGAGAAGCTCAATTAACAAGATAAAAGGATACCCCGACGTTTGACATCACCGAAGACACGCGAAATTATGTATAATGCCTACTATAGCTACGGCGCTGACGTTTTCGACTTTTATTTATTAAAATTAAAAGTCTAGCCAATATAATTATATTTATACAAGAAGGTCTAGAGGACGTGTCTTCTGATAAGACATTTTAACGTCGAAACGCGCGTTAATCGGATCGTTTGGTATTTTCTACGTTGAACTTGGGTACTGCCAGTCCTTTTTCTACAACAAGTATTTTTTCAGGAGAAATATGATAAATCTGAATACCGAGTCTCTCCCCCCGTCCTTCTTTCCGAGGTCCCTGGCACTTTAATTATACAATTCTCGTAATGTACATTCTCCCTGAAAGGAAAAAAAAAATATCTGTGATTTCGAATCTACCGAGGCTAATTGCACGCAAGTGTAAACAACCTGCTCATGGTGCACTTGCATGTACATACATATATTGATCCCCTCTTGCAGAATCATTCGAATACGTAATTATTTGCCAAACATAGCAAAAATGATTTTTTGTTACTCAAGGACTATTCGCAGCCCCACGTGGGAGCTGTATAATTTAACATTTAATTCAATATCCATGTTGCTAGTGGCTTCATTAAAAAATGTATACGAACATACAAACTTTTAGATAGGTACCTTTAGATATATTGTCACGGCCTAAACGACGTCACTTCCTTTTTTACGCGAGGAAAGTACGAAAAGAAGCGTAAACCACACACTAACTTTCTTACATATATTCTCTATTATCATCAATGTTGAGACAATCCATTCAAAGACTTGTCAAGAGCCCGCTTAAATTACGTTATTCGATTCGGGGAAGTCGCGTTTAATTATTAATTTTCCGACGAATTATAGTGACACATAATTCATCGATAAGAGTGTTACGTGTATTATGCCGTTTCAGATGTCTCTCATATATTTCGGTATACCAGATTTGTCAAAAAGTGGTCTACTAGAAACTGCTCCACGTCTTTATACTTATTTTATTATCCATAATTTATTATCCTCAATAGGTAGGAGTACTTCGTGACACTCGTCAGCACTAAAACGCCATTTTATGGTAGCACAAATTTCATTTTCTCGTCACCTTCTGCTCTACTTGTCTGTCGTTTATCAAAGAGATTGTTTTTAATGCGCGCGATTACCTCGTAGAGTTTCGCCAAGTTGAAAAGGCCGTTTAATTACTCAGGGGATTCCATTCTTCGTTCACTTTGCTACTTCGATCTACCCCTCGATCTACTTTAATGTATCTTAATCTCTAGGAACGTTTAATAAAAACTTTGAACGCTCTTCTATGCCTCGTATACTTTCTCTCGAGGGTACGATAATTACTTTGCAGTGTTACTTTCATTGTTACGCGATACAATTAATGTTGAAACTTTCCGAAGACGTGAACAAGGTTGGTACAGCGTTTACGCCGACCATTGACGCGATTATTAAACAAAGAAGTATTTGTCACCGGTGGATGCCGACGAACAAGTTACTATTATCGTATTACCGTTAATTAAGATAATCATTCGTATACTGGCAGTTTAAGAAAATAACATGCGAAAACATGAAACATAAAAAATCACACTTCCGTTCTAAGACAAACTGAACCATTGGAAAAAATCGTCCTTTATGGGTGAAGATCGATTTCGTCAAATCAACTTCACCTCTATCAAATATTAATGTGTATCGAGTGCAGTTACTAGCCACGTATGAACCATGCCCGAATTTATCGAATCATATTACAAGCGGATAATGTCCAAAGATGCGGTCAATATCAACTTATATTTACATTACTGTTATTAAAATGACTGTTTATGAAACATTAACGATGAAGTTCCATCTTCGCAATATTGTAACATATTTCTTAGGCTGAAATCACGCGAGCGTTGTCTCAACGTCCGTCGTAGAAATATATTAGGACCCGAGGGGTTATTCATTCAGGAAATCATGGATTATAATGCTCGAAATCACGTGTGAAATAGTTGGAAATCATCAAAACATTCTCGGAATTAGTCACAGTTTTAAAGCCGATATTGTTACCAAATCACATTGTTGTTTATCATATAAAATCGAAGGCAATCGGTTCTCAAAGAAGGAAATCGTTTTCACTGATCTCCGAGGGAATAGTCCTTCATTACGACCTATCATGGTGGATATACGAGCGACGTGCGTCACCTTTTTATAGTTCAACGTCCGTCGTAACGCACGTCGTTTATAATGCTCCTATGGTTCCAGCCTTAACAGTTGTTATACCTTCAAATAATGACATTTGATTTCCGTATCCGTATGTCACGTCACAATACTGAATCGGCTACACGAGTGTTGTTTTAACGTCTGGTGCAACGCACGTATATTGAAACGAACGTACTGCGTGGACACATTAAAAATGGCATACGACGAACTTCACAAATGTGGCAGACACACGAGCGATGTGTGTTGCAAATCGCGTAGATTTCGGTAAGGATCGTATGAGCCTTTTGTTGGCGTCCATTACAATAAACATACTTCGAACGGAGGTATTTTCGACCCTCGGGTAGCCGACAGCACTTTAAATAATTAGTACATTTACACATCCTTTTTTATATACCGGGTCTATAACTACAAATGTTATAACAACTGGTCTAAGCCCAGTGTAAACGCTATTTTACGCCGTTACCGGACCAAAATGGTGTTCATACAAAACTTAAGCCCGGTAGTTACAATATCAGTAGTCATAAAACCGGTGTAAAGAGAAACGTGTAAATACACTAAATGTCAAGCTAAGTGTGTTGGTGCGTTACAACGTCCGTCATAGTAGAAGGGCGTCGCTTAGAAATGTCCACGTCGCTCGTATTTTCACCACCGTAGGTCGTAATATGCTTCTACGATGTCTAAAACGACTTTACAACGTCGTTTTAGACGCTCGTGTGGCCCCAGCTTAATTATTTATATATTTCTATCTCGGCGAAAGCTTTAAGCCAAAATGTGTGAAGTAATAACAATTTCGCTCCGTTCGGTTTGAAATTTAATTGTCGGTTTAAAAAAAATCAACGTTCAAGCATACTCATTTCGAAACTGGCGTACACGCGATTATAAGATTTTTGGCAACGTATGGGCACGTCATGCGAGGAGGTCCACTTTGTTGAAGAGTTTGAACACATTTTCTAACGATCCGACTGTTTTGACAAAGAATCGTTAATGTTGCCGGTGCTTTTCCAGAGAAAAACCATAGCTGATCCGAGGATCAAGAAATATCAATTATCTGTATCGACTGTAAAAGAATGAGAAGATCAAAGGTTGGATGACATAATCACTGTAAACTTAGGATTCCGGTAAATTTACGGGACGATAAACATTTTCGCCTGTACATCTTCGAGCAATAGAAGTGCTGGCGAAGGAAAGCCGATTCGTAATTTGTTCGAATCTAAGGACTAAACCGACTAAAAGAAACGGGAGTGAGAAAATGTTTGTCTCCCGATGTATGAATAAGGAGTTGTAAAATAGCATCGGAAAAGCGTACGTTAATTGTATTTCACGAAATAATAAATATTAACTTATTTTATAATCAACGTCTTCATAGTCAACTTTCATTCGTTTCTTTATGTTGCTAACACGTACGAGTAAATTGCACGCGAGATTACCCGAGAAGAAGCAAACAAAATCCGACACAAACACGTGTCCCGTATACAATTATCACACCCACTAAAAGTTCGCGTCACATTACTTTGGAATGTAAACTTTCAGAAAGACATGCAAGGAGGTTTCTTCGCGTCTTTTTATACAAAATTTTATACTTGCTTCCAGATAAAAGATGTCGGTGTTAATAAGTTTTGACGTCGAAAACTTCAGGAGTCATAGATTCTCCCGTGCAACTGTAGATTACTCAAAAAGTACATTTAGTTTCAGATAAAGTTATTCCGAAATAGTCTTAGATTCCATCGGGTTATACGTTTAACGCGTACGCTAACATACTATAAAGATTCGTCTCCAGAAACGACAAAGTAAACTGGGACTACATTAGTGCCATAAAGGCAACCGATGTTTGCTAATTCCCGGCTGCTATCTCCTTTCCTTATTTCCGGATCGTGCTATTTCCTATATCAACGTTGCCCACCAAGGGGACACAATTACAGCCCTAGAAGTCATGCGCCGTATGTCAATAACATTAAATAGCTAAGTTATTGTCATCATCACACGAACGACACACACTTAAATGTTCATTTACTTACGCGTTATACTATGCGAATAATAAATATATAACAAGTAGAATTATATAATTATCTAAATCACTCGCGTCCAACGTACAATATTCGGACACTTGGAAATACTTAGCTACGTAGCCTGTGTAACTTTAACAATGCCCCTTTATTTATTTCACCAATTAGTAGATTTTTTTTTCCAGCTTGATTATTTAACATGGTTCACAGAGATTCGTTTTCTCTAATCTCAATAAAAACTCGTGCATGCGTGATAAAAGGATGGCTTAAAATACGCGATGTGCCTCACTAAATACATTTACTGTCTTTCGCTACACCGTTTCTTTATCCCGTAACAATGGCGCAAGTATCGTAGAAATACAGGCTCTTACGGCAAAGTCACTCCCAATGAGAAGAGAGAAATGATGAGATCCGAAATCGATTTAGAATTCATGCCAACCGTTCGAATGGTTTCTCCTGCCACGTGCCGACCGTTTCTCGACACGCGGAGGCCGGGAAAAAAAAATGAATATCAACCTTGAGTAGAAACACCTAAACGCACGGTCCTGCGAAAACAATCGTCGCGACGTATGACGGAACGATCGGTGGTTTCGTTGTTCGCTTCGAACTTTTCGCGTCCGTGACACTTAAAATTATACACTGACGCATAGAATATACTAACTGTATACCGAATCTCAGACGAGATCAACTAATGTCAATGAAATTCCCTTTCATTCGTTCCTGCTATGAGATCCATCCAACGAAATCAAAGACCCGGGACTGGACGTATGTCGACGTATGTAGGCGCGCGCGATGCGAGTATGCGTGAGCGTGAGTGTATCTCGTTCGCTTAGAAATTTTCATTCAGATTTCTATAACTTTGAAAGAGGGGCAGAATTACAATTTACATAAGTGACATTCGTAATACGCAAACGGCTCGTAACTCGCAATTCAATTCACCTAGCACTTATAAACTCAGTCGCAGGCTGAAAGAGGGATCGATCGTAGAGTTTGAACCAAGATGGCGGTGCCCTACGATCGTCCTCGAGTCGATAGGGAGCTTTCCGGTGCATCTTCAACCTGCGACCACACGTTGCATTCCTCAATGTACGTACATAGTCACACACGTATGGAACAAAGTATGATCGACCCATGATCCACATTGAATCACCACGGAGTGCAACGACAACCACCCGGAGACAAACTCTACCAGGAAAGCCTCGCACGACGGTCGCAAGTTTATCATAATCTTAGCGTCGAGGAGACTAGAACTACTTTCCTCTCGCAATGCCGTGCACTTTAGCTCGAGCTTCCTTTTCGAACTCGATTTCTTTCTCGTCGCGTTTCGTCGATCGTTTCCCGCAATTAAATCCGCTCGACGGTCAACCCGTCCGACCGATGCCTAAGAGGAACGCGTCTCTCAAAATCACGACTCTTTCGCGACGTAACGCAACGAAGAGTCGCCGATTTCGGACATCCGGATAAGATGACCGTCCACCCCTGCCAGCCCGTCGATGTCTCTAACTACCGGTATACTCCTTTAAGTACAAAACTCTAGTGACACGATTTCTCATTTGCGACGAAACGAGATAGATACCGAGGAGCGTGGACGCAGAGAACGAAAAAAAGAAAAGAATACTCAGGCAGTTAGGGACGCGACGCTCGATTGCGATTCCGAGCTCTATGCAAATGGGCGAAGTACACGGATTCAGAATAGATTTATTTCGGGACATCCGATGAGCCTTAAATGCTAGGTCGACCAACGAGTAATCGTGAGATTCCTGAGGAGCAATCGCCGTGGTGTATCGACTGGGACCGCGAGTGACGGTACATTTTGCTAAGTGGACTATACATGAACTTCTAAAGCGTCATTCGATCGGTAAAAGAGAAAAAGAGAGCACCTGTCATGTCAGGAACCAAGGGTCGCTAAAATTATATCTAAATATATATAAAGTCTTGATTCGTCAACCCGACGACGAGGATGATACACCACAGCGTGTCGGATATCGCTCCTGCCCGTTATCGTTATCATAAATAAGGGTCTCGGAAACGGCAACGGATATCGTTCGCAACCGCAGCGGGCGTAACGAGCAAAAGATAGTAAACTCTCTACTGGAGGTCGTACCATCGGGCAATCTGCACTCTGTACATGTACACTTAGGCAATTTCGGACAACAGATATCGCACCCCGCTTGGCAGTTGATTTCACTTACACTCGCACGTGTGTGTTTTCAGTTTCTTTTTCTGATTTTCTTTTCCTCTCCTCGAGTACTACCGATCCAACAGTAATTTGCTCTCTCTATTTAACGTCATATTAGGGTCTTAAGATTTCAATAATTTACAATCACTACTTTAGTTTTCGTACATAACTCTCGTCCGAGCATTGCGTGAGTGCCAGAGAGTTCAGACGGGGGTGTAATTGCCCTTCGGCGTGTAGAATAACTGTCCTCGTACAAGACGCCTTATGATCTCCGAGAAGAGTAAGTTCTTTTCCTTCTTGATCTTCGTCAGGACCCCTCGGTTTTCTTGCGCTCGACGCGACAAGTAAGGTAGTACTTCTTTCACGGGTCCGTAAGGGATGTATTTGTACGCGGAATAACCCGATTGACCTGCAACGTTAAAAGTCGAATTTACATATTTACTACTCCGGTTTTACTTTTCAATTTTAAAATATCGATAAAGAAACGATGTTACCCCGTGCGGGAATTCCAACTGTACTTTAGAAATGTTAGAATTCTGAGAATCCTCGAAAATTAAAATAAACTATCACGAGGGGAAGGAATAAAATAATTACGTCTAATTAAGTAATTTATCAAGAAATTGTCTCCGAAAACTTTTATAATTTAAAAAGTGTCTTACCAAGAGGGAATGTAAGGTAGTCACACATTCCGAGCAATTGGCCAAAGCAGATAACCTTATCTTCGGGGGAAATCCCAATTTCCTTCATCCTAAGTGCAAAAGAAACGCAATTGTAATCATTATTACATATCATAGGATAGAGTGAAACTTGAATATTTGTTCTGCATACTTTTCGATAGCAAATCGCACAGTGTTTTCATTGTGCGACGCAACCATAATTCCAATCTTTTTGGGATCCTCCCCTTTATCCTTGTACTGCTTCATTCTACGCATACATTCCATCAAAGTTTTATGGAAACTTTCTGTCGTAGCTTCGAATGTAGGATTCGTTGGATCCGGATAGCCCATAGCGGCTGCTCTCGCCCTTTCCTGAAACCAAAAAGACAAACGTTACAATCAATGGCACTTGAAAAATGTATCATTGAACTTTTACAGAGATATGTGCATTACAGAATCAAGGCTCTCACCTTCGTTACACGTGCAATACTTGTATGTAGCATTCTAAAGAATCTATACAAAATTCACATAATAAAAAGAAATTGGACGAAGTCCTAGATATTACGTTGGTTAGCAGAAACGTTCGCGGCCTTATTATAAAATGTATTTACTTATTATGAAACCTTCGTTTTATAATAAGTAAAGATCTCGTGGTAGTTTTGTATATTATATCACATCATATAACGAAACGAACCTGTTCGATATAAGCACCTCGGACGAGTTTTGCGCCAAAATAGAAATTTTGGCGTTCAGCTTGCTCGAGATCTGTTCTGACTTCGTTAAAGGTGTCCTGAAGATAGGTCTGGTACGTATTGAAGACCACAGCCTAGGAGGAGGTAGACCACATTGAGATTGAGTACTCATTCACTGATAACCTCTGTAACGATACACATTTGATGGGACTATTCTCGTGAGATGTATTATTACCTTTTGTGTATTGTACTTGCGCATCATTTCCAATGTTAATCTTGAGATGGCAGGCTGGAAGTAGGTTTGCTCGGCGTCGATCATTAAGCGCACGTCCAACTTGGCAGCGACCTGGTAGTTAAAGAACAAAAGATCACGTGAGACAGATTTAACAAGCATCTGAGATTGAAGGAAAAAAAAATTGGGCATATTGATGAAAATTTACTACTTACCGAGACGAGATTATTTAATCGCCGAACCATGTTCCTGAACATCTCTTCTTCTTTCGTCGTAAGCTGTGTCATTAGCTGTACCATTTTCCCAGTCTTAATGTCTGGCACTTGAAAAGTTTCGCTCAGTTCGTAATTTTCGTCTAAGATACCGCTCCACGGGAATAAGTGAATAACACTGCCAAAGGAAATAAATAACATTAAAACGCTGAATAATCATGGAATACAACAAAGTAACATTTCTAAATTTGAAAATAACTATTTAATTCAAGTAACACTGCAATTTCGAAATCACCATGCAAATATGAAACATAAGTGAAAAATAAAATATACAAATGCATATTCACTATTAAGGGGAGGGTTCTTAAAATTAATTTTATTGATAAAGAGTATCAAAATCCTAAGACAGTTAGTTCACTTTCTCGCTTCAACACTACAGGAAGTTAACAGGTTTGAAAAACAACTCTAATAAAGAAAATCTAAGAATTAGATAATACTCAATATGCCAATTTCAAAAATATTGGAGTATATTTATTAACAAAAAGAAAAAAAGGAAAATTTCGTTGAAATCTTTATGTAGCATGTAACTGCTTGAAAAGCATGAATTTAGTCAAGCATCAGGATTAAGGGAACCTACACAACAGGACTACTAAAATATTGTATCCTTACTTTCTGTATATCCAAGGAAGCGCCCAGAAACGGAAACATTCAAATAAAAAATCGTGGTATTAGAAAAAATGACTCAGCTTTCGGTAATTTTTCAAACCAGCAAGAAATTTGCGTAAATTATGTTTACTCTCATTTAACAGATACTGAAAAAGTCCTTGTGTTCAAACGATATACAGAAGATTTAGAAAATATCCCGAGCATAATTCGTGAACACATTTTAACTGTTATGAGCAAATATTTATTATTCTCATTTTACGTACCCTTCCTTATCGGACTGAATTTTTTGAAGGAACTTTTGTACCGGGGCAGCATCCCTAATGTGCGCTTCCTCAAATTTCTTCATGAAGTCATCAGGTTTCGCATGGTGAGCTAAAACGGCACCTTCTCCTCCGACCACGTCCGACATGTACTGACGTGCTCTCATGATTACTTCGGACAATTGCAGCTAAAAGTAAAAATAAGCGGTTTATATAAGTATTTAAGAGGACCCAAATGTTTCGATATTCAGTTACTAGTAATGTTCAGTTCAGAACATTTCAAAGGATTTACCAAAAGCTGAGGACGTCCGAGAGCTGTTAACTTGACAGCGGTAATGCCGACTCCCATGGAAGCACCTATAATGAAAATTTCATTGCTTTGTAGAAAATACGACAAAAGTAGGAGACACGAGAACAAACGGTTAAGAAATCTTATACAATTTGAACGTAATAATTCAGCCTGAAATCAATTGTTAATCTTAATTTAACATTGATGTAGTATTCTTCAGTGACAATGATTTAAACATGAGGGGATACATGGGAAACTTTGTAAACGAAAGGAACCGTGTACAAACAGAGGATCAACTGATTTTTAATTATTGATCACTAGGAACAAATAATCATACTGCACTTAATGTACATATTCATTTTTGAGTATTCATTTTATTATGGGGATATTTCACGTTGGCACTTAAGAAAAAATAGTATTCCTAATTATCTTCCGTTGAATTATTTTTACTTAAGATTGTATTTCCTATTCATAGTTCTCTTGTCAAAGTACTTACAGACTGATGTACCTGTCTACTAGGTCATACTCGACGAAGAAAATAATTATACTATTACAGTAGGATGTAATTGGGAATTTTAGGATAACAGGAATATTCTTACCAGGATGGGGATCAACTTGGGCATGTTGCATAATTTCTTTTTCTGGATATCGCAAGTCCAAGGTTTTAATTTCATCTTCTGCAAGAACGATTTGCATCGCGGTATTAGAAATACAAATTAATCTTCTACCAATCCACCTGTTCAATTCAAATAATGAATGAATAATTAATATTTAATGAATTCAAATACATTGTATGCCTTCAGCGAGTGGATGTTAAATAAAATAAAATAATGAAATAGTTTTTAAATAAAGTACCTTGAACCTTGACTCATTTTCTAGAGGATATTATATCGTAACATTGGCTAAGGAACACGAGACCCAGTTGTATTTAGGTATTTAGTGCATTTAAAAATAGATTCAGTTCATTTGTGGCGAGAGTTGCCAAAATTTTAAGAGGTCCATCAAGGAGCCTCGCAATAAATCACGATATCTTCAGTTGTCGAAGTAGATGCCCTGATACGTTGTCATTTCGAAGCTCCGACACCTGTAGACATATTTTACACGTGCAAACAAAAACGTAATTATCCGAAGATATCAAATTCGCTGAAAAATGTTCCTCGCCAGGTTCATCGAGTGCTCCGTCTTTTGAGAATAAGATTAAAATTTCTACTTCTCCTACGAGGAATTTTTCAAAGGATGTGGAAAATAGGACGAACTACTTAAAAAATGACGCAGGGTAATGCGAAGTATCATCGGTCTCTCTCGAAGTAACGAAATCCGAGGGGAAAAAGTACCCTGATATACAAAGATTTATTGTAAAAAATCGATGCGATAAGAATTCATTGTAATACCTTAGAATAATTCCATCGATCAAAATGTTTTCTTCCCTTCCAGCGCACTTCAAATCCTGACATGTCAAAGCATATCGGGTTCTTTCATCTTCTTTGCATTGATACCTAACGAAAATCGAGGTATAAAAATCCACATTTTCATTTAAGCGAAATTAAAGGTCTATCAAAGAATCTCGACACGTGTCAAGAAAAAACTTCGAAATTGAAATACGCCAGATTGGAATAAAAAATTCCACGATTCTACAATATTAAAATAAATTCTTACGATCTTTCATAAGTCTTTATATAATAAGGTCTTATATTTTACGCTCCTCTTTTCCTTCTTATCCCAAGAAGGCATATTTTTGTACCTCTCGTTCGAACATCATTCCCAGAGAGCGGAACCTGAAGCTTTCACATCGCCTGATAAACGGAAGGGAAAATCTTATCGGTACACATCTGAAGGCTCACCCGCAACAGCCTCTAAGCACCTGATGAAGATGTCCATGTTACGCTCGCATGATGCTTCGTTGAGGTAGAAATAGGTTCTTGCCGAAGATACCTTGTACCGACGATCGGCAAATGACTTTTCTACGTGGTACTTCTTCAAGGTTCCTTCCTTCTTCTCGTCGCCAGCTTCCGACACGGAGGCCCTGAAAATTGATACAAAATGTCCATTAATCTTGTGCCTTTAACTCGACCGATCACGATTGCACTTTATTGCCCGACATCGAAGAGCTGCTTATTTATACCATTTATCTAATCGGTAGAGAACTTACTGGACTTCACGTCGCTCTGCTTCCTCCTGGGAAATATCCTCTTCGACCGAGTAATCGAGAATCGGTTTAACGCCAAATTGCCGTAACCTTTCCAGGACGGGTCTGATCTTCACCTCGTCTTCGCCGGCGACGAAGTGCCCGTAAAACGTGCACTTCATCAGGAAAGTGAATAACTTGTCTCCCAGTATCGCCCTTGTGAACTTCATGAACTGAAAGTAAATGAGATCACTCGTTATTAAAGGCTTGAAATTCATTTTTTACCTTCTTGGGAAGAGTCGTGCCTCTTCGAAAAAATGCCCGAGAGCGGGTCCCGTCATTACCTTTGGTCAGGTTTCGGACCAACAATTGAAATGTTGAAAACACCATATATGGAGAAGCAGCACCATGTACCGTATACATATTCGGTTGCCGCCTGAACGTTTCATTAAAAAGTGTGACGGAAATATGCGTCACTGTATGAACAAACGGCAGGCGGGGGAGTAAATGCAAGGTACACTTCAAATATTACACAATTGTCTCAAGAAACTCGCCAACGCTCTCGATCCTCAAGACAACAAACTTCATTTTTCTTTCTCCTCACCTTCCCCGCGCATGAAAATCTCCATTTCGAGTAAATTCGACGCATCTTATATTATCATTTGAATGTCTCGAATTTCATTCGAAGAGAGATAGAAAAAGGCCTGGACAATCGAGAAAGATTATCGCAGCGACGGTAATCTCATTCTTAAAAAGCTGTCTGCATTCAATCGGATAATCATTATCGAGTCGTGATATTATTTATCGCGATACCATAAATAAATACCAATCATTACAGACTATCAAAATTCGACTTCCCATTTCCTTGCTCATCTCGCGCCCGAACTAAACTCGACAGGTGTCATTACTACTTTTATAAGAATAACGAATTTCATTCGAGAACGGAAAAACGCCCGAATGACTAAAAATGTTAACTAAGCGAAGATAATTCATTCTCGAAAAACGGTCTCGGTGAAATCGGACGATCTTTATCGAATCGCGATAGGATTAATCGAAAGAACGCGTATCTTCGATCGGTCTCCTTTGAAGCCCAGAATAAAACGCGAGCTTAAGTAGCCCACGTGCAATTGCCCGAGAATAGCTTCGAACGAATAGTCTCATTGACCGGTGACTCGAGTCAAGTTAAGTCAAGTCCATGACGTGAAGTTCGCCAGGTAGCGGCCTTACCGACGCACTCATTCCACGATTACATGCAGTTCCTTGGCTACACGCACGACGCCGTTGTCACAGTAGTCGTGTGTCCTCTTAGAGCCTTACATTTGCTCGGAGGTTATACAACCTCGGCTGAATTTACTCTCATCAGAAATCGACCAAGGTTTCTCTGAAGTTACGTGAAGCCTGCTACGGGATCAACGGAGGAATCTGCAGCTCCGCATAAAAATAATCGCATAAAAACCCGACAGCCTTAAGGTGATATGAAAGTGTGATATATACGTACCAAAGGGTGAAAATATTGATAAAACTATTCTTCAACCTGGGTGCACCGAATTATCTGAAACTTTAACACGTGATTATGAGGCTCTAAGGAAGAACGCACAGCCCGTGAAATTTCACTTTTTGGAAAAAAAAATCTCTTTTTGGTTCTTGTCCGAGATAAATGCAACATTTCTTTCGAAAAATGAAATTTCACCAAGCCAGCGTGTTCTCCCACAGAGCTGCCATAACTACGTGTTAAAGTTTCAGTTAATTCGGTGCACCCAGTTTGGAGGAAAGTTTTATCAATATCTTCACTCTTTGGTACGTACATATCACACTTTCATATCACCTTAACCCTTTGAGGTAGGGAATTTTAGAAAATAAAAAGGCCCATGTTGTACAGAAATTTTATTTCTTATTAAACCACCGTGCATATCCACGCATTGAAAAGGTGGGACACTTTTAATACCACCCTCCCTCAAAGAGTTAAGGTGATGTGGCGTCAAAGAAGTCTCGTTTATGAAACTTTTCTCCGAATTGGGTGTACCGAATTGTTTCAGACTTGACAATATGAATATGGAGGCGATAAGGAAGATCCTGACCTCCATAAAATTTCAAATTTTACAACATTTCGTAATTGATATTTTCACAATTTTTCATAAAACATGAAACTTCAAGATTGCCAGGACCTTCCTTATAGCCCCCACGTTCGCGTTGTAAAGTTTGAAACGATTCGATAAACCCAATTCATACAAAAGTTTCATGAACGATTGACCTTTCGGATGCCACTTTCGCATCCCCTTAAGAATTCTCATTTTTTACGAGAAGCTCCAGTTTTTACTTGAAAGATACAAAAAACCTGGTCACTGATTCCCGTTGTAGTCATTCACATAGCGAGAGTTTCGATTGTCGACGAAGAACCACTTCCGTGAGCATGATTTTAACAAAAAGGTCGGATTTGCGTTTCATCTGAGGCATGAATGGAATTAAAAAAAAAAAGAAAACTGGCTCCCTCCGCGGTACACGCAAGGAGGAATTAAAAAAACGACATATTCGACGTTATATTTACACCGGCCGTCCAGCTCCGCGTATTTGGAACGTACTACAAGCCTTGCTCGTCCGTCCTCCCTTTTACAGAGTTCGATTAAACGATCCACTTTAAAAAGTATTGAAAAGTATGACTCCATAGACGGTACGTTCACGAAGAAAAGTCGTTCGTCCTGTCCGTGCGATTCCTTGAAGCGGTGACGCACGGTTTTCGTTTATTCCGAATTGGCCAAACACGACTCCGAATCGAAACCAGTTTCCTGGTAAGAGAATTCCACAAACGGGGAATCACCTCCTCCACGTCGAGATGACATTAGCCGTGGCATATTTTCTTTCTCCAAGCCGCCTCGAAAATTCCCCGTGACCCTTGGCCATCGCCTGGTCGAGTTCCATCGGCACATCTGGTACGAGGAGTGACTTAATCGAACCTTTAAAATTAGATCCCCTGGCATTTCGAGTTATCACATTAGTCACGCGGTCTATCAATCTGTAAATAGGTGCCGACTAATGTGTAATCTACGCTTAGTCCGATACGATCGAATCGGCGAACGTCGATTCGAGACGAGTTACCTCGAATTTCGAGCCGACCTCAGCGTTCAATAAAAACAAGCCGGAAGACGATACAGCGCTTCGAATTACCGCTTTCGCTCGTTTCTCAATCACGCTCGGGGGAGAACATCCCGCTCTGCTCTATATTTTCAATTAAAGCTCAATCAACCGTATCGACAGATTTGACATTTGCTAAAGTGATTAACTACCTAAAAAAAAAAAAGGGAGAAAAAACCAAGTAGAGAACATCGTTAGATATTGAAAGTTAAACACGGAACGAGTGGTTTGGCGCAAAAATAAAAAAAAAATTCTAAAAGCGGAGTTCATCACTTTACCATGTGAACGGCTCATTTACGTTTGTCCTATATTCGTTTTATGCAATCGACAAGAAATCGCCGTCATCGGTGATCGGTCCAAGAGGTTCGATGAGAGAAACATGACATCTGGATTGACATCTGAAACGAGTGCAATTCAATTTGAATTGCGCGCGGGTCAATTGGAATCGAATCTCCGCGATTAATGGCCAGTGCTTAGGATACCTATTTCCCTTTTCACTTACTTTGATAATCAAGGAGGTCGTTTGCGTCGAGATAGGCGTAGGTCATGGTTGGAGACTCGCGACATCTTTCCCTTTCATTAACTTTAATTCGTAATTAACTTTCTTTGGCCGAGTCGGGACACGTGACATCGTAAATTTCCGATATGTCGATCCTTTTCATGACCCGCGAAAGCGTTAACGCGGGAACGAGTCACGTGACATACTCGTCAAGGAGGTCGTTCGCGTCGAGATAGGCGTAGGTCATGGTTGGAGTACTCACGATATATTTCCCTTTCATTTACTTTAATTCGTAATTCGCTTCCTTTGGCCGAGTCGGAACGCATATCGTAAATTTCTGATATGTCGACCCTTTTCATGACCTACGAAAGCGTTAACGCGGGAACGAGTCACGTGATATACTCATCAAGGAGGTCGTTCGCGTCGAGATAGGCGTAGGTCATGATTGGAGTACTCACGACATATTTCCCTTTCATTTACTTTAACTCGTAATTAGCTTTCTTTGGCCGAGTCGGAACATTTGACATCGTAAATTTCCGATATGTCGACCCTTTTCATGACCCGCGAATGCGTTAACGCGGGAAAGAGCCACGTGACATACTCATCAAGGAGGTCGTTCGCGTCGAGATAGGCGTAGGTCATGGTTGGAGTACTCACGATATATTTCCCTTTCATTTACTTTAATTCGTAATTCGCTTCCTTTGGCCGAGTCGGAACGCATATCGTAAATTTCTGATATGTCGACCCTTTTCATGACCCGCGAAAGCGTTAACGCGGGAACGAGTCACGTGATATACTCATCAAGGAGGTCGTTCGCGTCGAGATAGATGTAGGTCATGGTTGAAAGCATACGCTGATGCAACGAGACATCTTACGAGTTTAAAGTCCCATTCATCTCTTCGTCGAGGGTACGTCAACGTACTACTCTCTGTGTGTCGAGATAACAGATTCACTTTACACCAAAGGAATCGAGATGTTATCACCCTGGAAGGTCAATAGCGCACTGGCCATGACAGATAAGCGTGTAAACATTCCCACGATGTTATTCCTGGTAACATTATCTGCACTCCACTCGCAGACTGGTCTACATATGCATTAGAGGAAAAGCATGGCTAATTTCTCGATGATCAGGGAATTTGAGGGAAGGTTATCGCTTTACTCGCCGGTAATACTTCGGGACTCCTTCAATGGACGTACGGCAAATAGGAGCGGTTAATTGCGAACGTTATACGACAAAGAGCTGGAAATAATTCAATTCTTTCTGCTTTCTCGATGTACCGTTTTCTTGTGCGCCTTACGTTTTTCGAACCGTTCATTGGTCGGATATTCCTTAGGGATAATAATATACGTACGGTAATATTCTGTAACATGTGTATAATATGTATTGAATATATTCTCTTCGTCTGTTAATACACTGGTACCTTAAAAAAAAATGTTATTACCACATTTATTGTTATACCAGCAACTTATGGTGATATGACAGAAGCGTCTGGGGGGGTCAATCGTTTATAACACTTTTATCCGAACTGGGTGTACCGAAAATCGTTTGAAACTGTCCCACGTGAATGCGGAAACCGTAAGATGGTCTTGCCACCCGTGAAATTACATATTTTCTACAGAACAAAATGTTTATAGATAAGGTAAGAAAAAAGTAAACATTCACGGGTGTCTGGACCTGTCTTAGGGCCTCCATATTCAAGTGATAACATTTTAAACGATTCGGTACTCCTATATAGAAAATTTTCATAAACGAAATCCCTCGGGCGCAATTTTCCTGTCACCTTGATAATTTTCT